GATATATTGAGTTTTCGGTCTCCCCTGTACAGTCCAAGCTCAATGTTGGATGCCGATGGAAAAGGTGAATCGAATATCTTGCCAGGAAATATACGATGAAAAGTACAACCCGAATTAGAAAGGCAATGGCACATGCAAAAAGTCTTACTCGGGTGTTATGTTATACAAGTCTTGATGCTACCTTAAACGGTACTTGACGTCTACTAAAGAACAATTATTTTAGCTACCCCAAATCAGCCAGCATTTTGTTGCTCCACACATACGCGCGACACGTCCCAGCGCTCAGACTTGAAGTGATGGGCTCAAAGTCCCCGACGAGCTGTCCACGCCAACAAAATACATGATCTTTCAATTCTCGAGGCCTGGACAGGAGGATCGTCATGTCGTCGAATCCTCGCTCACGATGGGCCAACGCGCAGGAGGATGAGGCAGTGGAGGCCGAGCGCAAGCGAGTAAAGGAAGAGCGACGCCAGCGCAAAGCAGCCAAGGCTCGCAAGGCCGAGGAAGAGGAGGAAGCAAGAAAGAAGAAACACTCTCTAGGATCCGCAGAAGACCGACCCACGAAGCGGCAAAGACGGACGCCGGAGCCGGATCTCCCGCCAGCAAAGCCGCTGCGCTTCGAGGTAGAGGGCTGGGACAAATCTCGGAGTGTCGAGCACTATGATAAACTGAACGACATCGAGGAGGGCACGTACGGCTGGGTCGCCCGTGCTACTGAGCTGGCCACTGGGAAGGTGGTTGCGCTGAAGCGCTTGAAGCTCGAGGCTGGCGATCGCAGCGGACTGCCCGTGACAGGGCTTCGGGAAATACAGATCTTGCGTGACTGCAAGCATCGCAACATTGTCTCAATGGATGAAGTAGTTGTCGGCGACAATGTTTCTCGACTGGACAAGTACGTGGCATTGCAATCTGCCCACCCCACCGTTCCACGTATTCTCTCTAACAACTGCTCACAGTTCCATATTTCTTGTCCTAGAGTTCGTCGAACATGACCTCAAAGGGATCCTCGACGACATGCCCGAGCCGTTTCTCTCCTCCGAAGTCAAGCAACTGCTCCTCCAACTCACATCCGGCGTCGCCTATTTACACAATCACTGGATTCTACACCGGGATCTCAAGACCTCAAATATTCTCCTCAACAACCGTGGCCAACTAAAAATCGCCGATTTCGGCATGGCTCGCTACGTGGGAGACCCTCCTCCCAAGCTCACCTCCCTCGTCGTCACCCTCTGGTACCGAAGCCCAGAACTGCTCCTTGGCACAAAAACCTACGGCAGTGCCGTAGACATGTGGAGCGTAGGCTGCATATTCGGCGAGCTCCTCACCCGCGAGCCGCTACTGCAGGGCAAGAACGAGGTCGACCAGATATCCAAAGTCTTCGAGCTATGCGGCGTGCCCACCGAGGAGTCATGGCCAGGCTTCCGCAGACTCCCCAATGCCCGGTCGTTGCGGCTGCCAAGGTCCGCGCAGACGACCGGCTCTGTCATCCGCGCCCGCTTCCCCAACCTGACATCTGCGGGCGCCTCGCTACTGAATGATCTCCTGGCTCTGGACCCGGAGCGGCGGCCGTCCGCCAGCGAGATGCTGCAGCACGAGTACTTCCATCAAGACCCCAAGCCAAAGCCCGAGAGCCTGTTCCCCACATTCCCCAGCAAAGCTGGACAGGAGAAGCGGCGGCGGCACGAACCCAACGCCCCTGCTCGGGGGCAAGCAGCAGCTTCCCTGGGAGAAGTTGATTTAGGTGGTCTATTCCAGAGACGAGAAAAGGAAGAGAGAGGCGCGGGGTTCTCATTACGAATGGTCTAAAATCCAACTCTTTCCCATTCATGTTCTTGGGAATAAAGCTTTGTCACAAAGTAGTATTAATATCATCATCTTCCAATGACAATTAAACAGCCATGTGTATGTGATTGTATGTGGTAATTTGAGATCATGAATATATATCGCCACCGTACACTACTGTATTATCTCCATCCGAATTTTTTCAACTTGGACCAGGCACTTCGCCGTATGAATCTCCAATATTAAGTAAGTAAAAGCCAGAAAAAAAAACAATGCCTCAACTCCCAATGACAAAAAGCTCTGATATGACCATCACGCAATGCATATGCATACCTTACCGTCCCAACCACATACCATTCCAAGAGCGCCCTGACCAAAGCGCAGATACAGAAGTTGTATTCATGATATTAAAAAGTAATAGGATCACAGACCAGCAACGAACCAAGTGAAGCTGAGGAGCGTGATGAGCGACATAGTCATTGCAAGTTTCACAGCCCCCAAGTCGAGAGTTGGGGGTGCAGAGCTGCATGCATTACATTTCCAGTCTGCGTAAGGTGTGTAGGCCTGGGGTGTGTACAATCCGAAGGTCAAAGCACTGGCGGCATTGAGGTATCCTGGTTGCGGGCTGTCGGTGATGTGGGATTCTGAATCCTTGATGACAAGGGTGTACTGGTCGGTTCCAAGAGGGTTACTGCCATCGTTGGCCTGCTTGTTGGTATCCCAGATGTATTCAGCCTTGGTTTCGTAGGTCATGTTTCCAGTCAGGGTCCACGTCGCCGATTTGGACTTGCAGCTGAGCAGCACATCAACGGCAGTCGGGGCCGCCTTGACATCTGTATAGTTCCAGCCAAGAGTTACGGTGTCTCCGATCTTAAAAAGGGCGCTTGGAGTCTTCGTCGGGTCGGGGGTCAACATTTTCACACCACCGGCGTAAATGGTGTTGCCGTAGGTGGTCTTCTTTGCCGAGTCGGTTCCCTTGGACGAGCCACTGGCTCCCGATGTCGTCTTGGATCCACCTGTCTGGGAACCAGTTTGGGAACCAGTTTGCTCTGCCTCTGATTCTTCGGGTTTGGCTGTATTGAGCGAGTTCCCTGCGGTCTTGGATGCTTCGCCAGTGGCTGTAGCTGAGACGGAGGCTGGTTGTGAGGCGGCTGATCCGAGGTGTTAGTAGGCATCCACTAGTTGTTACACATATCGCCAGAGAGAGAATCCTACCAGATGACTTATCGTCGTCCGCACGAACGTAGAGCGAATCACGCTCAGGCATCCATTGCGGCCATGCGGAAGCCAAGGGAGCCATGGCATACAGGCACAAGGCCAATTTGACAACACTACGGGTTGGCCGCATCTTGATTAAATTGGTATAAAAAGACGATGGGTCTCGATTGCTCGTGGCTCGGGGGGGTATCGGGATAAGCAACAATGGTCGGAAGGTTGGACACGTAGGTTCAAACAAAGATGGCGAACGAAGGTGTTGGTGTTGGCAGGTCAACGATCAAGGGGGTTGCAGCGGCTTAGCGGGCGGACTGATTATCGAGTTGAGAGAATAGAAAAAAGCGAGTTGAGGAAGCGAGCGGAAGGTTAGGAAGCGAGAGACGAAGGAAAAGAGGCAAACAACGCACAAAGTCGACAATTATCGCTCTGTGTGTCAAAGTGAATTGATGACTTGAAAAGGAGCGACAGCTGCCACGGAACGGGAGAGAGGAGTCGCTGGACTTTTCAGCAGGGTCAAAACACACCAGCCAGTGGAACACTGTGGATATGTTGTCTTGGGTTTAGAGTAAGGCACCCCTGTCAACTGCTACCAGCCGTGGTTTAGCGCTGCGTGCGTGCGCTTATTCAATTGGCCCACAGCCCGGACGCTCGCAGAGACAGCTGAGAGGCTGTGAGAAGCCGCTGATGGCCAATACGAAAAAAAAAATGCTGGTGCTAAGGCAAGCAACACACTGTGGCGACCGAGGCGCCGCATGCGAGGAAAATTGGGGGCGAGAGTCTCGAAGAACTCAGGCACTCGTGGGCACAGCAAATGGGGGATTTTCCATGTCTATCTCGTCCGTTTCACCCTCTCTGCTGTACCATAATTTCAGAAGCGGTGCACCGGCATCTGCTACATATTACAGGCTCATTCCAGTGGGCTCAGGGACGCGTTGTGGTGCTGTGACGGGCACACTGTTCAAGCACCTAGAAGGACCGGTATGCACCCTGGGCTGATGTGTAGATGCAAAGCACGTGATCTCGTGTTGGGCGCCTGGCAGCTACCTAAATATACTCCCTGCTCGTATCCTCAACACGGGGTTACCCGCATGTGACGTTGTTCGTGCTACGCCTGTCAGGGATCCCAGTACCGATGTGGTGAGGGGCTTGGGCACGTTGAGGCAAAGGGCCACCGGCCTCGTAAATAGTATAGCGCTAAATCGGTTCGAATAACTGACAGGCGTGGGCTAACAGTAGTATTTATATACATTATTCCCAACTTTACGGGCAGAGCTGATATTGTACGATTCTGTATTAGAATGCTTGAAAATAAATCCGTGCAGTCACACCTGCGTGCTCGTGATACCCAGATTGGTGGGACACCAAACATCCGAGCCGTAAAACCCAAAACACTATCCGCACTGCCAGCAGGAGCACAGAGTTGTTCTATGTGTGCAACGGGTTCAAGTTCAAGAGACAATGGCCAGGTTACATGAACTTGTTTGCAATCCATCACCATCACTGGTCGGTCTTGAAGTGTGCCTACTACCTGACATGTGATGTATACATATCGGCCACTGCAGCTTCATTTCGTCCAGACCCATGGGGCCGATATTTGAAACGAAATCCATTGGCTTCATATTGTCCACCCATATGCCTAAACGGTCGCCATGTTCGCTTTTTAAGCGCCGCCGTTGCAGGATGGTTGGCTCTCTAGATGCCCTGCTTCCGTGGCGCAGCGCCACATGAACCAACAACCAGTGGGAAAGTGATGCCAACGTGAAGCTGGAGGCATCAAGCTGCTGCGAGTGGTGGACTCGCACCGGCAGCGGGCGCACATGAGGCGGCTGGCAGGCGGCAGACCCCAACTTGACCTGTCTGGTGCGGTACCTGGGGATCTTTCCAGTGCACAATAGCGCACACTTGCACATTTGCAGGTGCTCAGGTACTTGCGAGGTAGAGGCAGGTCGAGGCAGGTCTGGCCGGCAGCTGCGTCCAGTCCGCATCTTGTAACACTTTCCTTGATGCCTGATTTTTCTTCTTTCTCCTTCCTCACTCTTCCTCGTGTGGCTGTCCTTTGCCTTCCAACAGGGTCCGCTCTACCGCCTGAGCTCGAGAACTTCGGCCATCTGGCTTGTCTTGCATTCCCAATACCTTCAATACGGTCGCGTATCCTCTTTCCCTTCTCGGGCTCACGGGTTCCGTACACCATGACAATGGGTTGGTAAGTCTCCACACACTTTACTCCATCGGTTTTTGACCATGCATCAAGGCTCGAGCTAATCCTGCTACCAAGTTCTGTATGATTAGGCCCCTGTACTTCCTGCTGAGTATTATTGCTAACATCTGGCGGCTAAGTCCGCTGGCCCTCACCCTGCCAGTGAAACACATCGGGATCCGTTCATGGTCTCGATCCCAACTGTAGAATACAACCAGCTAACTCGGACTTCTCGCCGATACGGTCAGTCAGTTTCTGAGCGAAGCCGTTTGTATTTGAAAACCTTGTCCTCCCCACATGTCTCCGTCAATCCGTTGAACTTTTGTGGAAAATCATCACGTCTCAAAACACACAATCATACTATCCACATGAGCTAACCATCATTAACTCACGACATAGCCAGACTGTGTGCCAATTTGATTCTAGGAGGAACTGACGAAGAAACGATTGCAGTAAGTCCTCTCGTTACTTTGCTGGCACCCCACGGGTTGTTTAGATCTCTGAAATCCCGAACAACTTTTCTCTCACATCTATCCTCTGCTGGCTTACCTCATTTCCAAAGGTTCAGGACTAATAAGACTTTGTGATGAAGCTTCTCAGTGAGACCCAACCTCAGGAGGAGATAGACGACCTGGAACGGGAGCATTGCTTCGAAACAAGCCCCGAAAGCGAGTCGACCTCGCCCCTTGAAAACGAAACCAATGGCTACCAGAATAGGCTTGGCGAATGGGTAGTTTCCCAACCTGATCCCGCAAATGAATATCCTCCCCGTCAATCTTCATTCGGTTCATATGTCTCTACAGGGAGTAGAGCAGAGAGTTATCCCATCAACTCAGGCCGCCGAGCGCCACGCGAAGGGAACAGAACCATAGGTCTGTCGAATCTTGCTGAGGGAACAACTCATCTCGATGTCGCCAATATGATTCGAGGTGGCCAAGTTCTGGACATCTATCTAAGATATAGAGAAAATACTGCGTCCGTTTCTTTCACACACGAAGCTGATGCCAAAGCATACTTGAGCTACGTTCGAAAGCATGATCTGTACATCAAACAAAAGCGGGTAAGCGAAGAGCATCCCAACAGACTTTTCTGGGGCCGAGTTTATCCTAATATGTGTACGACATAGGTCGATGTCACCTGGAATGAGCGTCAGTTTATTCTTTCCGATCACATCGCTCGTAAGATATCCTCAGGGGCGACTCGGAACCTTGTTATTCGAAAATGTGGTCTAAACCATACTATGAAAAGCATCCGAGAGGATCTCGAACACATCCACAATCTCGTTGTCCTCAGAATCGAGTTCGCTAGGGGAGATTGTTACATCAGCACCAACTCGGTCACTGCGGCCACCTTTGCTCGTACTTGCATGATGAGTCGACTGTGAGTGTTGAGTAACTCTAGCTCTCTGAATTGTCTTTCAAATTCTCCAGAATACTAATGCAGACTTGACAGGAAATACAAGGGCTCGCGCATCGAGCATGACGTCGATGAATGCTGCCAGCCTCTGGATCAGGTGCCTTTCAGACGCCCAAGCCGGCCCAAACCTGCGGTGAAGGAGCGCAGGCCAAGCACAACCACAAACAGATTCAATCTGCTCGATATGAACCATGACGACGAGGAGGCATAGTAAAGACTAAGTTCTTCATAATTTAGCGGCTGTCCATTTCCGCAATCGCGCGTGTTTGAACACACACAAAAACACAGATATTCAGATGTTGAATGAGATCACGAGATAATGTCTCTTTATTGTTGCTTCCCTGAAATTCAGTAGCCGATCACTCTATAGTTTGATCTTGGTTATATCAAGTGTTGAATTTCATTGGTTTGATAATCACTTTAACTGTCTTCCTAAAACATTCTGACAGAGGCAGCCACGGGGGTTAGCCCTGTAGACTTGATGGTACACAAAGACGAGAAGCTACAAATCAATGCTACTCGTTACGAGAAACCTACTTCTTCCGGGGTTTGTTTGAAAAGGAATCCAGATAGCTGAAAATGCAAATGTATGAATACTCCTCCGATCACAGCATAGGGATTTTCACAATAGTCGCTTTGCATTCGAGAGATGATGATGTGAGGTGTTACCACACTGTTGATACTTGCTATCCACCCGCTTCATGCCGGTATAACTCCTGTAGAAACGGGTGCTCCCGAGTTTGAAAATAGAAATAACATGATTAAGAAAGGACATAAAAACACCCAGCAGATAGTAACAGAAACGTAAAGATAACAGCCCATCACTCCCAGCAGGTCATCTGTCAGCGAGACGCGTTATTTGTCACTGACTGAAGGTAATCTAACAAAAAGCTCTGGTCCGCCGGGGATATCGGGGTCTGGCTACTGCCCCTGGAAGGAGGCCCAGTTCCAAAGCCAACCCCACTGCCTGCGAGGGACACGAGGCGCGACCGAGGGGGCTCGGGCGCCGCCAGTTCGGCCTGGGCGGCATCATGGCCGGGGGCATTAGGATTCGGCTGCTTGCCGAATAATGACAGGAGCTGCTTCTTCTGATCCTGGGAGACTTCAGCTCGTCGAGTGCCTGCACCCGGCGACACAACAGAAGACCTATCAGCGGAAGTAGCCAACTCAACCGTCCCGGGCAGAGCTTGGCTGGAGTAGGGCGAGTTCGGGATCGTCCGTTCAGAGTGACCGGAGAAGTGGAATGGGTCTCCTTGGCCCCTTTGGAGGATACGGATGGGTTGCGAGGGTGCATTTGCTGAAGCCGCTGTGCTGGTTCGAGTAGGGATTGGCATATTTTCATTTGTCGTTTTTCTGGGGTGCATGTTATGTTCCTGCCGGGGCTTCAGGGCCAAGAAATCAGAGAGGGCAGCGCTTGGATCTGCAGGTTGGCTGTGAATTGGGTGTGGTGGTTTAGCCGACAATTCGGGTCCCGGGGGTATCCCCCGAAACGCATCTAAGAGCTGCTTCTCTATCCCGGTCGCAGCGCCCTGAGGCCTTGGTCCAGAGAGTGTGGAGTCTTGGAAAGGTCTTGGAGCCATATTCGTAGTTGTCTCGGGAGCTGGATTCTTGAACATGCCCAACAAGGCTGAGCGATGCGGTTCGATGGGGGGTTTGGCTGCTGGAATATGTTGTGAGGAGCTGTGGGATGAGGCTGCAAGCTCTGAAGGGAAGGACAGCCCATGTGTGGCCGGTTGTTGATGGTGGTAGGGGGCATGGCCAGAGTGAACCTGGGAATCAAAAAGTTTTTGCTTTGGTGGGAGTTGCTCAACTGGTACTGGGGCAGGGTCTCCTTGCTTAAACGCGTTGAGGAGGGCCATCGATTGACCATCCAAATGGGCAGTTTTCCCCGATTCTGGAGGTAAGTTCAACGATGATTGCCTCGATACTGTGTAGCCTTGCTCTTGTGGAATATTGTTATGCAGAGGCGGTTGGTTCTCCTGGTATCCTGCCCTGTCAAACACAGCCCGTTGCACCTGGGGTGGCAAAGGTTGTGGGTGGACAAGGGAGGCTTGGGCGTTTCCGAAAGAGTGCTGTTGATACAGGTTCTGCGGAGTATTCCAGTGAGATCCCTGGTGGTATTGATTGAGAGGGAATGGAGGGGGTGGCTCGACCGGTTGGATAGCAGTATGGTGTTGATTGGTATGGTGATGCGGATTGCGCGGTTGAGGGACAGGTTCCGGGCCCGCATTCATAGGTGTGTGCGGCAACATACTGCCAGGCCTAGATGAAGTCGCAGGATTGGATCCTCCAGCTTGAAGCATTGAGAGGAGCGCGCTAGCTTTGTCTTCAGTTGCAGACGCAGCCTGAAGACCTTGCGTAGGGGGCTGCATTTTGAGAAGGCGTTGCAGTTCGTGGGTAGCATCCTCCAGACTATTATGGGTTTGCAAAATTCCTTCAGGGGCGGGTTGAGGCCAAGTATCATCCTCAGTATACACCTCGTCAAGGGCATGGTGGGGATGTAGGCCAGTATTTCCGGCCGAATGCGAGAACTTCTTTGAGCCCAGCTTCTTCTGTGAACTAACCCATTTTTTCAAAGGGACGAGGAACGGGGCAACCATGTAGAACTTGTTCGCACTCAGTCCCGCGCCGGCGTCTTGACCATTCGACGTCTTCTTTTTGCGGAACGCTGGGAGCTCCGACAGCCTGTACCACTCGATCTTGCTGATTTCTTTTCTGGTTTGAGGCCGAAACAGCGTATCCATAGGCACGTCGCGAAAGACGTAGAGACGCATCTGTTGTTCTCTCATCGTAATCTCGATGTATTTGGGATTTTCGGTGGGTACAAGTCCAGCTTCTCGGAGGTCCAGTCCTGTCTCTTCCCATACCTCGCGAATCGCACAGTCCAGGTCATCTTCATCCTTGTTGATCTTGCCACGGGGAAAGCTCCAGTTTGCGCCCTTCTTCCACCCCTTCACGAGTACCGTAGAGTCCATTTCATGGTTCAACAAAATCGCTCCGCGCACAGGCACGCGAGTCTTGTATTCAAGAAACTCTTCGAAGGCTTGTATATGGTTTTCGGTTGAGAAGGAGGCGAGCAAAGGGCAGTGCTTGAAGATGCGGAGGCTGAAGGTTCGCAGAGTCATCGACGGGAGATTGGGGTCCAGTGGTCGGATGAAATCCTCGTAGAACCATTGGGCCTCTTCGACTTGGAAACATATCCGAGCCACCGAAGACAGGTCCTCTTCTGGTAGGTTGATTATGAACCGGACGCATAGGTCATCCAGCCCTGTAGCAAGTTGTCAGTTAAGCCTGCGCGATTCGGCAGGGATCATTCCTTAAACCCACAGTCTTCTAATTGCATGTGTGTTTGAGCCATTCTGTATCTGGTTTGTAAAACTAACAGGCCATGCTCCGGGCCGAGGAGTGAGTTTGCTTAGTAGTATCCTGTTGTACTCTCGATGTATCGTTGTTGGATAGGCTTGTGGCAAGAGAAGGCGCTGCGTATCATGGCCGTGACCTAGCCTAGCAGTTGGAGAAGCTTGAGTGGGGACCACCGTCGTCGGCAAATGCACTACGCCGCTACGCGACCAGCTCCTTCTAGCTTTCGAGTTGGGACAGCCGTGTGCAAAGGCTGTGGTTGGGGCGTGTCGCTCGTGGGACTTGGTCGAGTAAAGTCGAATGTAAGGTAGGTAGTGAGGAAGAGGTTTTGGCTTGCTTGATCGAGTTACCTATTCACGTGTCGACCAGATTACTGATGGATGCCCAACTGGCGCTACTTTTATTACGCAAGTGAGGCTGGACAACTGCGCCACATCCTGTAGTTGGTGTGGCTCACGAGTAATAGGTGTTAGTTCGTACGACTGAGCGTTATCATTTTGCCGCAAGCCCCCGTTCGTTTCTCCTCCCCGTTGCATATATCTATTGACATCGTGTGATGTTTTTTTATCACTAAATGGATACTCGACCACAAGGTTTTGCATCACTGATATTAGCATTTGCCTAACATGCCAAGCGACTGACATAAAACATGGCACACCCAGAACCTCCAGCGTTGAATTTCAACACAATTTCAAAACAATCAACCCAGTAATAAACACAATATTAAGCTAAATACTGTAGAATAGTTTGCTACTCTCTTGGCATTATGTTGAGTATTATTCATAAGAAAATTAAATCCATCCCTACCTTAGTGAAGAGTGCTAAATGTGCCATGTTTTATGTCAGCCACTTGCATGCCTACTTGTTCTTAGAGCGATGTCCTGCTACCCTATACTCATCCTCACTTCGTTGGTCTGGTCAAGGCACTCGGCCCTCATAAGCTCAGGGGGCTGTCACTCGTTCCCTTTTCTCTTTGGTTTGGTCTCTTGTCTGTGTGTGGTTTTATGTAGCATGTCAGCATTTGTGCTGTAACCACATATTGTCGTGACTTCACCAGGCAGGCCGCGTTGAATAAAGAATCACACCAGAACCGCCCATATCCACTCTAGGGACGACGATATAGTAACAGGGGCGGAGATTAACATGAGCCAGTATTAGAAGCTGATAGGGCACCAGGAAGGACATTCAAGACCACTATCACTGATAATAGGCGGCACGTCTTGACTTGACACCCAAGGCAACCCTGGAGGCTTTAAAAACCCCAGTTGTTCCCGCCCCACCATGTCCTCTACTAGTACAAGCTAAGGACCAGCCCCAGCAGCGCGCGTGGGTGTTGTTGCATAGAGGGAGATGTGCGCTAACCCCGTGTTTCTCGTGAGACTGTGCGGATGCTCTGTAAACAAGACCTAGGGCAAAGGCAAACATGGACGAGATGGAGATAACGGAAGCATCGATAATACACGAGAAAGGGGAGGATTACGCGAATGAAAAAAGTAAGATGCATGTAATGATTGGATTTTATCTCTTCCCTGAGCCGTTTTGGTTGTAGTTGGTGGGGAATTGCCTCGGGTTGAATAGGTCTGAATCAGCCACCCTCGGTGGTGACCAATATGGGCTGGTACATATAGCTCATATCGTGTTATCCTGCCATCAAGATGCAATTGAAGCTCTACTAATCACCCCCGATGGGACGCGTGACCAACGAAATTGACTCGCCAGGACAATTGCACTAGAAGCAAGTTTGCGAACGCAGCCAGCGCTGGTTATTTAAGGCTAGCTTGCCCGGAATCACGACACCGCAAAGTATAAATTTAAAAAATTGTTCTTACTGGCGCAAGTGCGCGACTCAAGGCAAGTGAATCAATGGCGGGGCATTGGTCAGGCAGAGTGTGCATGCACCATTTTGGAGAGGTAGTGTTGGAAGTTCGGAAGCAGGCCACTTTGACAACTTGAGTACCAAGCAGCTGTGGTGCTTGGCAATCTGCTCTATTATAGGAGAGGTGTAAGATTCTCAGATTTGTGTAAGTGGGGGGTGGGCTGGCTGGGGAAAGAGCGAGTGAGTGGTGGTGTGGTGTGCGCGACATCTTCATGGGGTGTGTGCGACAAGGGGCGAGGCAATAAAAAACCGGCGGAGTTTCTCATAGGCAGGAGGTGTGTAAGGCAGGGAGGGGTGGCGCTGCCGAAGAGGATGCTGGGAGGACCACCCGGTAATTGCCTGGTGGTGCGCCATGGTACTATGATAGTGTGTATTTGTTCGCTCCCGTACCACTTGGCGTTGGAATAACACTGCGGACCGAGTGTCGTGGTCATAGCTACACGAACCGCCAATCCTGTTCATAATAGTGTCGCTCCTATTATTCGGTATTCCAGGCCTGCCTACCCAGGCACCCAACACGCCAAGCAGCTACGCTGAAGCCCACTCGGATGGTGCTCAGGAAAGAATGAATACCTTACCGTCTCTGGGCGCCTCTGTTGCCGCTCAGGTAATCTCTGTTGGGAGGTCGAGAAATTCCATGGTGTTGACGGGGTTAATAGAACCTGGACCGGGCTCATTATTGACTACCTGACCTCTGAGGAGCTGCAGTAAGCTTTCGACCACCGAATCCTACCTTGCGTTTTGCCATCGCTAGCTTGTCTACCAATGGAGGCCGACGTAGTGATGGCAGAGCTGAGGATACCTAGGTTGGAGGTGCGCATTCAGCAAGCAGGAGCCAGGATGGGCACAAGGTGCAGGTCGAGCTACCTTAGTGCCTTAGAAACGCACAGGCCACGGGAGAGTCCAGGGTCGGCCCACCCACATGTAGTCTCTTCCCCATTAGATACCTGCTGCACTCGTGCAGATACTTGATGAGGTTCTGCAATGCAATAGCCCCACCGCCAGCCGCCGTGGCAATTCTCAGCTTAGCCCTTCTGGAAAGCGCCCACATAGCGCTGCAAGTCCGCGGGAATGGGCGAGAGAGCGGCTAGTCAGCAGCCGTGCCCCTGGCCTCGGGCGTTTAACCCTTGACTCTTTTCGCAGCCCACAATGTAGCTTTCCTGCTGCCGTAAGTACCCTGCGTCCTGCCGGAACTTTGGGTTTCACACACATCACACCGGTCCACAGCAAAGAAGGTGCATGCAATCGGGCTCGCTTCCTCTGCTCCACTATCCCATCCATCACTCCCAGCCCAGCGCCTCGCCGCCATCATCTTTTTTTCCTCCTTTCCCCCTTCCCATCCACAAGTTGAGCCCATTCGTCACGCCCGACCCCCACCGTCGATAGCCTCCTCCCCGTCGATCGTACACGTTCACTTCGCTTTCGCAAGGCTCGACGGTCAACCGGCGAATTTCTCGCCGGCGCCCGTGTATTCTTCAGTTGACTTGATCTGATATCGCTTTGGCGCAGCAAAGTCATCCCGAGTCGCTCACGCCTCAAGGCCAACGGCCGCCCACCCACCACGCGTGCTTGCTGCTCTTCCCATCATCGACTTTTCGTACCAACACGACACGTGTTTTGCTGCTGGCATCTTTTCAACCGTCAACGCATATCCTTTAGCACATAGGTCGCACTCATGTCCATGTACAGCCATCGCGGCATGGGGGCCGTGCCCCCCAGCAATTCCGCTCGTCTTAACGAGCTTCTCGACCAGATCAGGACCGAATTTGACACTCAGTTGCGCCAGACCGAGGGATTTGAGCATCAGAGTAAGCTTTCCGCATCGCACAGGATTGTGGAATCGACCGATCAACTAACGCGCGCCCAACAGTCAGTGCTCAAGTGAGTGAGATGCAGCTCGTCAGAGAAAAGGTTTACGCGATGGAACAGACGCACATGACTTTAAAACAAAAGTGAGCTTTGATGACCACTGATCCCATCTTTTTGCACTTTCCCGATAGACTGACACTGTCTCTCCCACAGGTATGAGGAGGAGCTTACCATGCTCCGACACCAACTCGCAGAGGCGACCCGAGGCAAGGCCGGTGCCGGCCAGCCCCTTCCCGGCCCTCCTCAACATGGTGGCCCTTCCCAACAGCCTCCTTCAATCGCACCAGGAAATGGTCTATTCAGCGGCGTCATGGCTGGCGGCAACCAAGCTGGACTCGCCCCTCCCCAACCGCAACAACCTCAGCAACAGCAACAGCCGCAGCATGGCCCCCCTCATGACCAACTTGGGCCTCAGCACCAAATGGGCCAAGGCCCTCCAGGCCTCCCCGTCCCCCCTCCACACTCTTCCGCTCAACCCCCACAGCCTCAGCAGGGCCCCTATCCTCAGTATCCTCCTGGCCCAGTTTCCAACGGAATGGGCGGCCCCCAGCCAACCCAGAGCACCGCGTCTCCGGGACCCCGAGGCCGGGGAATTGGGCGACCTCCGAACTCAGTTGGAGGCCCTGCGACACCACAGGTTAATACTCCCGTTCCTTACCCTGGCAGCGCGCAGTCTCCCCAGATCAGCCATCCCACCCCCGAACATCGCATTGGTGGGCCAAGACCCCCTCCATCTGTTGGTAATGCTCTTGGTGAGCTGGAGCTTGATGCAGTTCCTCCTCACAACAAGAAGAACGGAGCCGACTGGCACGCTATTTTCAACCCACAAGTCCAGAGAGTTCTCGATGTGGATCTGGTCCACTCTCTCACACACGATAGTGTTGTTTGCTGTGTGAGATTCAGTCATGACGGTAAATATGTTGCCACTGGTTGCAATAGGTCGGCTCAAATCTATGATGTCGCAAGTGGTGAAAAGGTCTGCGTTTTGGAGGACCACACTGCCATGGACCCAATGGGTGGTACCGATTTATACATTCGCAGCGTTTGCTTCAGTCCGGATGGCCGCTATCTCGCTACTGGTGCTGAGGATAAGATGATTCGAGTAAGTTGGTCTGAGCGCATTGTTTGCTCGTACATTGCTGACACAGAAGCAGGTCTGGGACATTCAGAACAGGACGATTCGCAACCAGTTCAGCGGTCACGAACAAGATATCTATTCTCTGGATTTCGCACGAGATGGCCGCACCATTGCT